CAGGGGGACGCTGGCGGCTGCATGGCGGGGCAGGAGGGTGCGATGCCAGCCCGTTGTGTCCCTCAGCACCGCAGCCCTGCACGGCAGTGGGGCCTGGTCCCGGGGGGTGGCAGGGATGGGGACACCCCGTCTGAGCTGATGGGGTTGGGTGTCACCACCATGGAGGCAGGGGTCCTGGGGCAGGGGGCTGGGCTCCCCGGGCTCCAAGCACAGCCTTGGCTCCGGCCCCTTCCTGCAGTCACGGCTCAGGGCAGTTAAATCCTCTGCCATGGCCGCGATAACAAATTTGCTTTCTGAAGAAAGAGAGGAAGCGAGAAATCCCAGACTGCGCCAGGCGGTACGAGCCGTTGCTGGCCGGGGCAGGGAGGTGCCCGCCTCCCTCCTGGTTTGTTTGCCTTCTGCAAAGCAAACAGTGTGGAAACTTGGGGGGGTGTTTGGCAATTCCTCTCCCTTGCTTATAAAAGCTGCTTCCTGGTGCAAGGTTTCCGGCATCCTGTTGCTTCCAAACACCGCTGGTGAGGGGTGGGGGGGGATTCCAGAAATACGTGTTACTGATAACCCGGTATCTGGGCGCTGGGTTTCTCTGCCAGCTGCTCCCCCCAGCTGCAAGGTGGCTGCAGCTCTGCCACCAGCTGAGGGGACCAATGCAACCCATGCCGGGGTCACCTGTGACAGGGACCAGCGCCCAATGCGCCAGCAGCGTTAAACCAGCGTGCTGCTGCTTTTGAACCAAAACTGCCCTGCAAGCCCATCCACGTGCAACCATAAAACCGGCAGCTGCACTAAACTATTTCTGTGTTTCTGAAGACAGCCTTTACCCCTTTACCTGGCTGTCCTTAGAGCCTCAGCGCTGGTGGCACAAACTGCATCAACGCAGAGCAGGAGAGCTGATGGACACGGCCCTGCTGCCGCAGGTCTCCTACGGGACTGTGGGCTCTTCCAAAGGGAATCAGGCAGATGAACAGCAGCTCTTGCTGTTATTATTTCTGCTATTAATTTGGCTTTTGATGCTAGGTGAGGGACACAAAGCCTTAGTACAGTCCCTTGCTTTCAAGAAGACGGCCTTTGGTGCAGACGCATGTGCCAGGGCAGCAAAACAGATCCCTTCAGGTATTTGGTCCCCCTCTATGAAGTTCTCACAGACCTCATGCAAGGTGGAGGCACCGGCATGGCCAGCTGCCTCAGGGCAGGGATGTGCCACCTTCATGATGAGCCCTATGGGGTCCCCAAACCTGTGTGACCCAGGAGGCAGCCCCAAGCACTTCTCACCTCCTCACAAGTTTGATTGCTCACAATTCGTGGCCCCACATGAGATGGTACCACCATGGTCATCTACCAGATGATGCTGAAGCAGGGCAATTGCTTGTACAAGCTCCTGCTTCCAAGAGAGTGGGGTGTAGCAACACAAACCCCTGGGGAACAGGCAAAATTGAACTCAACAACAATATTTTGGGCTTTTTCTCTTGGTAAATACGGAAACAGAGTTGCAGCTATTAGCTGGAAAACTATTCACTCAGTGCCGTTTCCCACACGGACAATACTATGGTCCTTGAGGGGTCAGGTTGAACTCACGCCAGAAGCAGCAGAGGTGAAGAGCGAGTCTCCTGCGAGCCCCCCGTCTTTGTGCGGCTGTATGGAAACGAGCGGCCACGGCTGCCAGCTCCACCGCACGCCACCGCCTTCTCTCGGGTGTTTTGTGCTCATGGTGTTTGCTGCTGCAGTGCCAGATCTCAGGAAACAATGGATTTACTGGTCAGCCAGTGCCTCTGCTTTTCAGCAAAATGACTCGGGTATGGAGCAATGCAAAGCAAGAGAGCGCCGGTGTTACTCTAGCCAAGGCCAGACAAAAGCTATTTCAGCCTCTGGTTAAAATCCGACTTTTTCTCTCTACGTGCATTTACTGGAAAAGTGTCAAGAACAAGGAATGTAAAAATGTGCTTACAGACAGCGCAGCAGCTCCCAGGAGTGATTTTCTGTGGTGAGGCTGCACAATTCCTGCCTGTCCCTCTGGCCATGGCAGGACCAGCTTTGGGTATTTCACACCGTCCTTGCTGGAGAAACAAACGATGAAAGGGGCAGAAAAGGACTCAGCAAAGCCTCCTTCCTCCCCTCTCCTGACTCAGGTAGTGGAAACTCGGCAAGTCACCCAGCAAAGAGCCAAATGTAAAAACGAGGGGTACACCACACTGCCCTGCTCTCTGGGCACCCACCTCATGCCCCCATCAGTATGGTTCAGCATTTTCATTCGTTGTTTAGAGAAGAGCTTGTTTCACGTTGTTCCTGTGGGTTCTGCCAATCGGAAGAAATAAGTTAAAAAAATAGTGACCAATTACACAAACGTACATGTGCAGGAGGGAGCAGAGGGGTGGGAACTCAGAAATTCAGAACAAACCTTTGCTGCAGGGTCTGGCTGCCAGAGCCCCAGCAGTGCTCGCTGCCCTGCAGAGCCCTCGTACAAAACACAGCCCGGGTGCTGACTCAGCACATGGCCTCGGCCAAATGGCTCGAGCTCTGTGCCCCACTGCGGCGCCCTGGGGGCGGGCCAGAGCCAGCGTCTCGACGACAGCAGGGAGCACCAGCAGGCCAGCCGGGATCCAGGTCAAGCGGTGAACAGAGGCTGAAGAGCTTCACCCCTGCTTAGAGCAAAACTAAAAGGGTTACGCTCAGCCCTTCCTAGAAGCCAGGAAATTGTTTTTTCTTTTGTGTCCAATGTTATGGTGGGAAATTATAACGAAACAGGCAGTGCAAAGGCAGTGCTTGAAGGGCAGCAGTCCCGCCTGCACTCCGCATGGCTGTGGTCCCTCACAGACTGCAGCGAGCTCTGCCAAAAAGCTGGAGTAGAAAGGGAAAGTGGGGAGTTATCTCTGCAGCCTGCTGCCGTGAAAGGAAACTGTCCCTTATATCAGCCTGTAACAAGGACTCTTGCTGAAACAGGAGTCCTTGCCACGCCTCTGTTGTCTTCCTTGTAATCAAAAGCTCCTTTCTTTCATAATAATCTTCATTTTAATCTAGTACAAAAAAGCATTTTATTCTTACAGATTTCATTTCACTGCCTATTCCAGCTCTAGCAATAATGTGAACCCGACAACTCAAAAATGTGCTGAAGCAGAAGTTAGGTAGAAGGGATCAACAACAATTTATCAGGAAAAGGCCAGCCCAGGAGAGGCAGGAGGTTTCCATAAGACACAAGAAACTCAGCTTGAGCAAAGTACCATCATATCCCCTGTTCCAGGAATCAAACACATGTTATTTCAAACTTATACACTCAAAACGTTGCAAAACAAAAACCTCCTATTATTCTTTCAAACTAGTTTGAACTTCCTATGATTTAACAAAGATGTAATCATATCCGCAAAGATCCCAGAGTTCCTTACGAGCATTTTAAAAAGTAGGAATGAATCATTTCCTTGTACGACAACCAACTTTGCAATGCCATGATCCTGGAAATGACAGTTGAACAGTCAAAGGCAAGCAGTCAAATGAAAATAAAAGCATTTAATGCAAAACATTTTACCAAAAGTTTTTACAGCAATTTCATACAAAGAGTCTTCTCTTAAAACATTAAACCATGAGTTGTTACAAAGCTGATTACAAAACTATCTCCTCAGCCACATAAGAGAGGTAGGGAAGGTATTCCTGTCACCTGAAAACACCGAAGATGAACTGAAAAGGAAGGTTCTGGATCTAGCCTGCTACGCCTAAGTGATGGTAACACACATATGTTTCTGGATTAAAACTTCACAGGCTGATCTACCTTTACCCCATAAGGCTTTCATTAGGCTTCCTAATAATTTGTGGGTATGCAACGGAAATGTCTGAGCCACCTGCCAGCTGCATTATACGGTTTTCCCTAAAGATGGGAAGACTGCCAGGGCAGACTACGGTGTGTGTTCCCGTGCGAGGAGCAGGCTCTAGGGACAGGTGAAAAATAAAAAACAAAATATTGTTTCTATTCCTGCTCAGCTGCTCCAGGCTGTAGTTTCTGGCACCCAGGGGCAGGTTGGAACCGGTGCATCCCAGCCCCTCTGCCTGCCCAGGGGCTCAGGAAAGTCCAGCCACTGGGAGGAACAAGCGGTGCAGCTACCCCGGGCTCCCCGTCTAGACTGGCTGCTTCCCAGGCGGACAGAGGCTCAAATGGGTACAGAGAGAGCTCGTTTTGGAGTGAGCAAGGCCCTGTGGAGACTGACAGTCAGCCCAGCCAGCATCCTGGCAGGCCTGCGAAGAGCAAGAGACAAAATTGGTCCTTGTTGAGAACCAGGACAAGGCAGCTGGAAGGGAAGGGAAGGGCAGGTTGGAGCCCTCTCCTCCCCTCCGCAAAGCGCTGCAGCAGCACTGGCACTTCCCCAGCATGCTCATTCATTCCTTCCTTTGGCAGATTTGGCTGGTCTGGAAATGATTACCTGTAAAAAGAGCTCTTTCACTTATGTGGCTGTTTGCTGAAGTAGCGTCCTGCAAGGCTGAGCTCTGCCTGGTCTGCTGCCAGCCCAGCAAAGGCTCCAGCGAAACCCCAGCGGAGCAGGGCTGCTGCTCCCCGCTCAGCAAAACAACAACACAAAGGCCTTCGAGGAAGATGCAGTGGGGGGAACGCAGCTCTCCAGAAAACAAAGCCACATTAACCAGCCTTAACAAAGCAACAGTTTTCTCCCCAGTGGAAGGGCAGGCTGGTGCCTTCCCTCCCCAGGACAGACTGTGTTTTGGGCTCTTCGGGGACACGTGGGAGTCCGACGTTTCTTTTCTGCTGTGCTGCTCCAGTGCTAGGCTCCCCGCGCTGCTACCAGGAGCTGAAGTCCCCGAAGCCTGTGCTCTTTTTCTCTTTCTTTGCAGCTGTGCTGGTTGAGGGTCCGTCATCTTCCATGCTGCGCTTCCTGGAGCCAAAATGAAAACAACTCTGAGGGACTATTTACTGTTCGGTTGGAGCAGGGCAGCTGGATGCCTTTCCCCTCCCAGCAACAGCTACGCCAGAGCCAGCCCATCCCTGAACAAACCAGAAAGGAGCGTAAGCTCCATGCCAGCATGGGGACCACAGGGGGAGTGGGGATGGGGGCCTCTGGCATACCCAAAAAGAGGGAGACTGTCAGTCTGCGGGGATGGTTCAGATAGGCTTTGAACCCTTCCAGGAATGTGTTCAAAACCCAACAGGTTCTCCAGGCCAGAGCTGCAGATTTCACAGCTGTATTATTTTAGCGCAGCCATGATGAAAATGTGAGCCACAAGTTCTCTCCCGGCTTTCCCACCTGCATTTGTGGCAGCAAAAGGATTTATGGGCAATTAGGTGTAAAGCAGCTGGGGAGGTTTTTCAGATCCTTTCCTGTTTCTTGAACACAGCCTGTTGCAGTCGCTGCTGCTGTTCTCAGCCGCTCTCCAGCAGAGTCTGCAGCCCCACGGAAACACTGTGCAGCCAGCTCACCTACTGTGGTTTTGTTGTCAGGTATCAGTAGCCGACAGGGAGAACTGAGAACCCTGAACCTGCCAAAGGGCTGTTACGGACCAAACTCCCAGTTTCAAGGCAGGCCACAAGGAGTGAAGGGCTAGGACAGGAAAGTCCTTCCTATACTTGGCCCTTTCTACAGAGCCGCAAACTCTGCCTGTGTTTCCTCTGCAAATACAGTGCAGAATGGCAGCAATTTTAAGCCGAACATAATATTTTAAGGGACAAGCAATCTTTTGTAACTGAAATGCTTCACTGACGCACCAAACTCACCTACATGGGCTAACACATTTTTGTTCTCACAGTTATGCAAACGCCTGTAAGTCATGCAGGCACACACAAGCTGATTAAATAGCTGTCCAGATCTGTGTGCACACAAATACACACCTGTATGCAGCAGACAGACAACAGCATTTTTGCAAATATTTTCAGAGAAGTCTGCAAAAAATCAAGTGGAAGGGCACAAATACACACCTGTATGCTGCTGCAGACAACAGCATTTTTGCAAATGTTTTTAGAGAAGTCTGCAAAAAATCAAGTGGAAGGCATTTATTTTAATTTATCCAAAACTCATGCAAAGCTGCCGCTCAGGTGGGATTCTGTACTGTCCTTAGGAAAGCAAGCGATGCTGCCAATCCCAGCGGGTCTACAAAGGGTGTCTGGGAGAGGATGCTTTAGGACAAGCCTGTACAACCAGCCAGGCACCCTGGAGCGACTCGCCAGATGCCCTTTGCTCTCATGGCAAGCCTGGGAACCTGCTCCCCTTTCCGGCCATTTCAGTTGTGCTGGTACAACTGTTCGTGTGGCTGAACAGGGAACCAGATCAGCAGCCTGATACGGGCTTAAGGCAACTGCTTTGTGCAGGGGAGAAGCTGCTAAAGAGAAACATCTGTGGGCTTGTGGCCTTCAGAAATAGCTGCAGAAGGGGAAGAGAGTAAAAGATGGTGTAGGAAGTGACACAGTACAGTTCCTCAAGGACTTCTGAGTTGTGGAAATGTATGTACAGTTCTGAAGCCAGCACATGCTGTTAAAGACCAACTTGGCCAAGTTCAAGTGCTAGAAGAAAAGCTCAGTTAACCTGTAATTGTGAAAAACAACAGAGGTAGAATGAAATGTTGACTGTTAGGACTGCATGAAGGTGTCTTTGCAAAGCCTGCTGGCACAAACCAAACCTCTGAGCAATGGCACTGGACAGGGTCAGTGTCCAGCAGGAAAGGCAACTAAACACTCAGCAAAGATCTCTGGGGAACTCACGCTGCAGCCATGTTAATGTATTTTCCAATCCCCTGCCGGTAAGTTTTAGGAGTCTGGACCTCCTTCTTTGGTGGGACCACCTCAGCTTTTGTTTTGGCTGCTTCTTCTTCTAGCCGGGCCTTCTCTCTTTCAGCAGCAACCTGTGGGAAGCAAAGAGTGCAATCTGTTGCAAGAGCTAGTCCAGAATAAGGAGAAAACGTCTACAATTCTTTGCAGCTTTAAAGCACTCTAAAACAGCAATCAGCACCGCTGTGATTACAGGGCAGGCTTCAGGAGACAGACCTCAAGGGCCACTACAAGCAGGCTGTCTGCAGCCATTACAACACAACTCCTCTCTTCTCACCTGCAGCTACCCATAGCTACTGTGGGCATTTGGAAAAGACACCATCAGAAGTGTGATGGACTGGGAGCTGTGCCAGACTGAGTTACAAGACCTCTGTGCTAAAAGAGTCGCGATGATCCTGGCACACAAGACAATGCTGAATGGCAGCTGTTTAACCTTCAGCTTGCAACCATATGGGCTGGGGGGCTGCCCAGGTTCAAAGAAAAGGCATTAAGTTACAAAGCTTTGACCTTTCGAAAAAACCAACCAACTATCCTCACCTGGGCATCTGCCTCTTCATACGGATCAACAAAAACAGTTGTTGCCTGAATTCGTATTTCCTCCTGGGAGCAGAAGAGAACAAGAGCAAATCAATCTGCTGATTAAGTTGTGCCATGTCCCCCAAGTTCAGCTTTCAGAGAGCCGTCAGCGGGGTGAACAGCACCGCCACACAAGGCCAGGTGCATTCTGTCCCTCCTGCACAGCCCCTGGTGCTTCACACGTACCTTGGGACGGTCGGTTTTTGGGTCACTTTCAACATTCTCCATAGCAGTCAGAGTCTCAAAGCCACCAACCACCCTAAAAGAGGAAGGACATGATTTCCAGCTGTCACAACACACTCAAAATATTCCTGCACCCTTATATCTAACATATCTAACTTATGCCCATTACTGCAGCTGATTTTTAAACATGTTTGGGGGAAGAGGAATCAGCAACTCTATTTGGAAGACCTAAGATAATGTAATTCAGTGCAGAAGGGAAGAACTGTTTTCTCAAGTCTGGGTTTTGAATTTAAAATTAAATGAAACATGAAAAAGTCAAACACTCAGAGGCAAAGCAAAGACTTTTGTCCAAAAACCCGGTAGCCACACAAACCAGCAAGATGGAGAACAAGTGACTGTGGACAGCCGTCTGTGCAAGAAGACAAACCCATTTCAAAACGGGTTCGCTTGCTAATGCTTCCTCCATAAATTTGGAGCTCATTTGTTACTCCCAGGAGCTTTGAACAACGAACCAACAGACTTGGTCAAGAAAGCAAATGTTTTCATTAACTTCTGATTTTTTCACTTTTTTTTTTCTTTTAAATTGTTTATCAGAGTGTTATTAGGAAGAAAGGGAATCGTGACTATGGCACTGCTGGTGAGCAGTGACAGAGCTGTCCAGAACACCACCAGCAACGCAGAAAGCGCAGGACTGCTCCCGAAGCACACCGTGACCGTGAGCTCGAGAGGGCTCTGGGAAAGCAGCAGAGCATCAACTCACAGCCACGTGATAACGCTGGGACACTTTTCACCACAGTTTCTATTTAGGAAGATGTTAGATCCCTGGCCTCTCATTTTTCAAGTCAACATATCCAAATACTTGCTTCAAAATGTTTAAGAAAGGCCAAAGACTTTCTGGACTGTTGTATGATCATTTTCAAACAACGTGTGGAACAATGGGAAAGTTCCAGAAAAGGATATTTAGAAAGGATAAATGGGGTGACCTAGATAATTATAAGCCTGTCATCCTGGCATCTATCCCAGCAAAATAATGCAATAGCAGAGACAGGACATGATTAAGAAAGAAAGGAAATAAGTACCGGCAATCAACAAGGTTTTGTGGAAAACAAGAGTCTGTCAAACAACCTTCTATCTTTGAGATGACAGATGTGGTTAACAGGGATAACAGTGTCCGTGGAACAGACTTCTGGAAGGCGGCTGATATTTTGATTGAGAAACCAGAACGATATGAAGCTAGCACAGCACACATTAAATAAAAAAACTGGCTGACAGGTGTCAAAATCTAATTTTACATAGGAACCACTGAGTCAGTACGTTTCCAGAGGGGTCCTGCTGGGATGAGAACTTGGTCCCAGGGTATTTAACACTTTTATCCACATCATCATCCCCAATTAAATCTGGAAAGAGCTATACTTAGACGAGCAGTAAATAAAGACGAAGACAGGCCGTTGATGCTGAGCGATCCAGATCCCTCAGGAAAGCAGGCTGTAGCTGCACAACATCTGTTCTAACAGAGCCGAGACGCATGGCCAGGAACGAAAACTACAGTCTGTATTAATGGCTGTGGGACAATGAGAAGCAGCTGTAATTCTCAAAAACACTGCTCCTGAGCCAGAGGAGTTTGGGGCCGGGAACTCGGCAGCGAGGGCAGGACCTGACCATCGAGGAGCTGCCCATGGGACAGGGCAGACCAAGAGCCAGCAATCCTCCAGCCTTTGGGGGGTCACAACTGACTGCTGGGGTTACTGGGACTCTGGTACCAGCACAGGTAGGCTGTCAAGGGCTGGGCAGATGAAATGGAAGAAAGTAAAACTGAATGAAACTAGTGGGAAGAAATCAAACTGGTGGAATATTGCAGAGTGTTTTATCACCTAACACTGCTTTCAGATCAAAGAAATGAGCAATGCCTCAACCAAAACACACTTCATATTCACAGGTATTTGACACATTTCTGCACTTCTACTACAGGATCTCATTCTTGCAAGTGTTTCACAGCCAGGCAGCCCTCTCCAGCCCCGACAGGACAGCCTGCCCGCTCAGCACCAGGAGAGGCCCGTGGCTCAGCACCAGGAGAGGCCCGTGGCTACCACCCGTGATGGTCTCAGCTGATCCAGCGCAGACACACACCTCCTGCTCACCCCTACACACCGCACACACCTCATGCACTGCTCCTAAGAGCCACATTCACCAAACAAAACAGGCTGACTGCCACTCCTTGCGCTTAGTGCAGCCCCCCTGCCCCTCACTGCCACCCCACAGGCTGGGATAGGCACAAAACATGCCCCAAAAGACAGATCCCATCACAGAAAATAAAACTCTGCAACCAGAGAGGTGCTGCTCAGCACCTGCCTTGGGCAGAGCCGTCCTTGCTAACATCTCATTGCTGCTGTGCTGCTCCCAGCCTCTCCCTTTACTCCCCAAGGGCCTGTCAATACTCTGTAATCAGGCTGTAACTTTAAAAGCAATTAAAAACCATGTATGCAGGCTAGGACAGCTTCATTCCTTTGCTACTGGAGGTAGCATTCTGAAAGGGGAAGCAGCACAGGGCTTGAAGACCCTGCCTGAACTTTGGAAAGTTCATCACAAAAACTCAATTTTAAAATCCTCCTCCAGGCCAGTCTCAGATTCACTTATAATGCTGATGATTAACATACCGCCTAAGATATATTCACTTTTACTTACCCCTAAAGGAAACTTCTGATTTAATATTGCAGGATTTTCTAGCCAACAGCTCCATCCATTAGCTGCTCGTATGTTTCCATTTAATTAGGTTCTGATAATTTGAAATAGCCAGATGAGCTATGCACTGGCAATCTCAACTGAGTAATCCCTTAGCCCATAGCCAGACCTCCCACAATATTAGACCTAATGCATCTTGGCGATGCTCACGAATCTTCATTCGTTATGCTAATTAAACATTACTGGGAATACTTTTGTCACTTGTACATTTTAAAAGGCTGCGATAGACGTGGCATTCACAGGTCATGGGTAAATTACCTAAGTAGTCTATTCTGACATGGTTATAAAGGGCTAAGGCGAAGAAGACAAAATTGTAATGCCTGCAGAGCATGTAATTCTCTTCTCAGCTTCTTGTCTCTAAAATGGAAAATTGCTTTCTTTTACACTCCTGCATTCTCTAACATTTTGCACAGAGAGTATCTCTGTGAATATGACAGTGTCAGCACAGTGAGCTGTCAATATAGGTTTATGTCTTTAGACACTGCCATAATACCAATAAAAAATAAAAATTAATTTGAATACAAACTGCCAGCTCCGAGAAGAGAGCTCTAACCAGAGGAACTGGAAATAATTTATTAGTCACTTTTGTGCAGGGAGCACTTGGAAGCTATACCAAGGATGAGGCCCAGCTGAGGCTGGTGTTTCATCAGTAAAAATTAAAATCCCAAAAGGAAAAAAAAAAAGAAAAAAAAGAGGAATATTTCAACTTAAAAGTCTTACACTGTAAAGGATTTTGCAAACTTTCCTCTGGTTTGTCTAAGCAGAGAGATGACGTACATGCAGGCTCTCAAAATACTAGATGTTGTTACTGTCAAACCTCATGACGTTACATTGCAGCACTAAAATCAGTTTGATGGGATATAATCTGTCTAAGCCCATTCACTGGCATCCATCACAGAAACTGCTCCTCACAGAATGAGGAAACCAATCCGCCAGAGCAGTTTTGGGGATTCTTTGCCTGTCCCACAACACATACTCTGGGTGTAAGAAGAAAAGCTCCCAGACACCTTGCCAAGAAAAAAGACCATACAAGTTATATGTAGAAAACACCATCAGACCAGTACATTAAAGCATTAAAAAAAACTTCTAAAGAGAGAGTCACTACTTAATATTGTTCTTAACTTTGAACAAAAAGAGATGAAACCTGTCCTGTGAATAAACCTGATTCTCAGCATAAGAAAATCTGTACATCATTTTCATTAAAACAACATGCAGACTCCAGAAGTTCAGACCAATATCCCTATATACCCTTTCACGCGGTAAGTGGTTCCCCAGCCGGTGACAGGTCACACCGCGCCAGCATCCCTTGTGCTGAGCTGGGAGCACCGCAGGGAAGGGAAGGGAAGGGAGAAGGGCAGAAACACGTTTAACCTTTCCCACTGCTTCTGGCTCTACTCCTTTTGTAAGGTGCCGCACATGCTTTGCCCTAAATTGACCAAGTGAGGTTTAAATAGATGTTCAGATGACATCTTGCAGTGAAAAGGATGATATCTTCAAGACGCCGTTTACTTTAGGACAACCAGTGGAACCGAGGGTTTGCCGTGTACTTCCAGTGAGTGGATGTTGAACAGAGAAATGATGATCTCAACTATATATTTAGCTCAGCATCCCCGAGACAGCTTGTTGTATTTTTAGAGCTTGATAAATGTTGCATTACATTTAAGCATGGATGACAAGGTAGGTACATTCAGTTTTTTTTCTGTTAGCACAGTAATGAAAACAAAAAAGTGCCCTTACTCGCGTAATTCTATTTTCTTGAAAACTGAGCTAAGTCAGCACTGGAAATCTTTGCATTTCAAATGTAGAGATGTTATTTAAAAATCTTTCTTACTTCCTGTTAAGGCTCCTTTATGCAAACTAGCAACATTGCTTCATAACCACTGCCAATGTCTTTGCATGAAGTGTAAGTGAAATATCTGGAGCAAGCTCTATCCATTTGCAATATGCCAATGAAAGTCTCGCTGCCACATTAGCCAGTGCTGCTCTCACAGAAAACTGCGGCTCCCTAGCACATGGACTTCCTATTTCTCATATTTTTGTTCAGCAGAATTATAGGAATTAAGCCTTCTGCAATGCTGGGGATGGCAGCAGTCCAAGACAATAGAGTTTCCTGGTCAGAAGATGACACAAGAACACTGTCTGGATTTTTTTTAAAAAAAAGCTTTAAACTAGAAACAGAAATTAGAAAGAAACATTGTTGTTTTGTAAACACATTCTGCCCTCAAGGTTATTTTTATAAAAAGGAGTACCTACATTTATATACACACACAGAGAGCAATACATACATGCACAAACACGTACACTCAGGACAAAATGTTTTCTGTGTATACACCCAATCTGAAACGGAGCGAGCAATTCGAACTTGCAACAAGGATGCAGTCGAACCATCTCAATCTCTCATGAGGGCTTAATCTAGCAGGCGAGACACAGTAATGAACGGCGCTGAGCAAATACAACAACAAAAGAAGCATTTTGAAACTAGACTCAACAGATGAACCTGGCAAGTAAGGATGACTGCTTTGGCACAGGTTCCTCTTCAGAGATCATACAACTGTTTTGGAAACAACAGCAGCCCTCGTGCAGCTCCGCCAGCCCAGTCCTTGTGTGCTACACGAAATCTTGGCCAGGGCTTCCATGCAGAGGCCAGATTTATCTTCCCACCTCGCTCTTCACTTCTGTCCTGGAGCCTGGGGAGCAGAATCTGCGGTGCAGAATGAGATCAGGCTCCCAACAGCAGAATCAGCTCTTCTGCTGTCACACAATTTCTCTGTTCTTCAGATGTATTAAAGCAGAAGAGCAGCAAGAACATGAGTTTCCCAGCTTAGAAGCCATTAGGGTTTACTGATTCCAGTCATACAGGGAATGTTACAAGTGGAAACAGACGCTGTGCGTTATTTAGCTGTCCGTGGGTAACCGAATAATGCCTGGCAGTTGTTTTACGTAGCTAATTACTCTAGAGGACAAGAGTTACTTTCATCACCCCATTCTAGACAATTCCATTAAACAGGTTAAGGAATACTTAATGCAGAGTGATACTTATCCAAGGAAAGAAAATTCTCTTCCACAAAAGCATCTGGCAAGGTGAGGAGGAAAGAAACGAGAAGATTAACCTGAGTGTATGTCAGCTACTGACCGGTGGCTCCAATTTGACCAAGGCTGAGGTTTCCCAAACCACCTTGTTCATTATTTCCAGGAACAAGAGGAAGAATGAGCAACAGAAACCTCAAGAGGCAGTTAAAAGTCCTCTGTGTAAACAGATCTGTGCAGCCATGTACAAACGGGAAAACTGTCCTCTGTATGCTCATCTCCTGTCTCAGTCGCCACATCCTTTTCTCAGTTCTTGACAAACACAAGTGATGCTCCAATAAACACTCAGAACTGCTGCACAGATCATTTCCAGCTTTGCCACTCTGACCACATTTTTCTCTCTGCCCCCTCTAATGTCCTTTTAATCACATCACATCCCTGCCACCTGCCCTCACTTCCAAGCCCAACATGCCCTTCTTGTCCTAAATCTCACCCAAAACTCAGAGAGAGCATTTCTCTCCTCCTGTTGATCAGCACGGCTCAATCACCTTCCACTATCATTTTAAACATGTACTTTTTCACGTGTCCCTTCAGCTTTGGAACAGGCTCCTCAAAAACATCTGCAAAGCCATTTCGTTTTTTCCTGGGGCTTTCTTTTTCCTTGGTTCTGAAAAAAGCACAAACTGTGGGGGAAGGCAGGCTGAAAGGGGTCACAGTCACAACTGCCCTGTATCTATAAGCAGTCTCTTTTCTACTTACACAGCTCTCTAGGACAGAGATTTTGTTTCTGTTTCTGCTTATAAAGGGCAAATGTACCAGGTCTCTGATCCACAGGAGCTGTGAACCACTGGAGTAGTAGAAAATGTAATAACAACACAGATGGGATATGCCTGTATCTAAATTTCACAAAGCACACCAGACAGGAATGTGAGCCTGTGCTGGTGTTTGGCTGTAACATCCCTGTAGCTCACGCAACTTGCACATCAGTTGAACTCCCAGCTGTAGGATGGGTAAGAGGGAGCCCCCTCGCACGCAGCCCACACCTTCCCCATGCAGCAGTCACCTGCACACGCTTCTCATCCACCCTGTGCAGAGCAAATGCACGTTGGTTGGTTAACATTATTTGAGTTTCTAAATTAAACCTCTTACCAGCAAGCTAGAAGCCAACAAAAGCCACCAGTTAGTTTTCATGTTAATTACAGCACTCCCAAAGTCAGGAGAAATGGTAATTACTAGAAATGGTAATTACTAATTTAATCTAGGCAGCTCTGCTGGAGCAGGAAATCCGTGCAGCCTGCAACACACCTCCAAGGGAAGGCATCCTTCCCTCACCCTCTGCCTGTTTTTGCTCCCCGACTGTGCCAAATTATCTCCTTTATTTTCAGTAACATCCGTCCTCATTATTGCTATGGTGGGCAGCACAGTCATCACAAGATGCCCTCCCTGTCCTCCAGCCGCATCCACCTCCTGGGACTTAAAAATTCCAGTGCACCAGCCAGACACGTGCCACCTCTTCACAGTCCTGCTGCCTGCAGCTGGTGTGTTTCTCAAACATACTTAACAGCCAAACATCAAACTCTTTGTTTCAGCCCACACAGGACCCAAAAAACCAAGAAAGGGGTGGGGAACAGTTGCTCTTTCGCTGTTTTTCTGTTCTTCTCTAAAGTATGGAAAGCCTGCTGAAAAGTTCCATACATATTACAAACAGGTCCAATTCTGCTCTCAAAGACACAGATGTGACACTCAGTAACATGAACCAGAGCCGCACAGAAAAAGCTGAGGGCACAGCTGAGATCTGAGTATTTAGGTTTTTATATTAACTGAAATAAGCAATCCTCCAATCTATATCAAAGTCACAACAGGCCAGTAAGCACCCAATTAAGACAATCCAATTTAACATTCATGGAAGTAAAGAATTCTGATTTCATGGATTCATTCTATTCTTAAACCTAGATATTATTCCTAGATATGCTTCCCAGATAGTATTGTACTACACAGTCTAAGATCAGATACAGTCACCAAATCCTGGTTACACCCAGGATCTGAAACAGCAAATCGAAGCTGCAGTTTCATGAGAGGTACAATCTCTGGAATCTTTTGCCTTTTATCGCTTTTAAAAACAAACGCAGGTAAAAACAGCTGAAGGATTTTGATGACAGAATACAGATAAGAGCCACACACATCAGCCTTTCATATTAAATTTGTAGGTAAATTAAATTATTCAAGTATTCAGTTTGTAGATTAAAACAGAGCTTTGGGAATGCATCTATCCCAGCATCTTCATGTTTTACATTCTTTGAATTAATCTTTGTTTATGTGGAAGAAAGTCCAAAGTAAAATTCACCTGCTTTGTGTTCAGAGGAAGACGTCACTCAGTTTTCATGCAGGAAGCCAAATATGATTATAAACCAACATTTTTTGTAAAGTTTCCCTTTGTATTTCAGCTAACAATATTTGCAGTGCTCAGAAAGCAGCACCACTCCTTTACTCTGGCAACCAAGTTCAGATTTCTACAGTAGCAAGCACAATTCAAAAACTACGACAGTCTTTGCTCAAACTGCATAGAAATCTGCTACACACTTAACCAGATTTACCTGGACTAAAGTGTTTCCTCTCTAAAGGGCAACACACAGTGTGAAACATCAGTTGAGCTATTTTGCTCACAACGTACTCGAGATGTTACGCGTGGTGCAAAGGCTTCCGGCAGCACACTCCCTGCACCGCAGTAAGCTCTGCTACTCTCTAGATTTTTTCCTGGTGAATTATGGTAAAACTGGAGCACATTTGGGGAAACACAGCAAAGACACTGGAGGACTCTACAGGATGCTCACTCAAGCCATCCTGCATCCAGAACTGAATAACAGCCACGTTTCCGCTGAGTGTCCTAACCCAAATACTACTTGATCAGGTGGCAAGCTCAGGTTAACAGCATTACTGTAAGGGATTTAATGGGATTTTTGCAAGGAGGACTAATATTGTAGCTTAAGTGAAATAGTCTTAAGATATGGGTAATGTAACTCCTCCGAGAATGTAATTGCTCTCAGCTTTCAGTATTAGAATTTGCTTTATTTATCTGCCTTCACCAAATGACAAGGGAACTTTAAATTTTTCTAGGACAGTCCTGAGAAAGGAAAAATAAATATAAAGGGTGCCACTACTGCAGAATCAGTATTGGAACTAATGGCACAAAAAATAATTGTTTAGAATGAAGCCAGCTTCTGCCTCAATAACTCACAAGCTGAGAACACGGATTAAATACATCACTTTCATTGTACAGCACAATTGTATGACATCCAGTCAAAGTAAACAGCACATGTATTTATTTTCAATTGCTGCATTTCAAACAGATAAAACTACAAAAAGAATAAAACCCAAATCTTCATTAAAAAAAGACTGTAAAATCCTTGGGAACTACTAACGAAGCAGGCTGGTAAAACTCCCCTTCCTGCCATGTGCACCCAGGCATTTGTTACAACAGCTATGCATGACCTGGTAAATACCATGTACCTGCAGCAGAGGAAGCAAAAACCAGACCATAACATAACGATTTTGTAGTATCTTCTGTAATAAATACCTTGATCTTTATCATGTCAGGGCTTGACTGGAAAAGACTTTTGGAGGAGACTTCTTTATAAAGAATGAAGTTCCCTTGCTGTCCTGGCATCGTAATATCTTTATATTTATATACATAAACACACATGTGCACACACAAACATAGAGATTTTATAACAACAATAGTATCAGAAATAAAAGAAGAACAGAATAAAACAGAATAAAAAAGAATAAAAAGGGACCAAAAGACCTAACCTATGCAGAAGCTCTATGTTCTATGCCATGATGAAGAACAGCCCTGTCATGACTAATTTTCCTGGCTGACGGCTCGTAAGAGGATGAAAGCAGTGTTGAAGAGGTAATCCCTTGTGTCCCAGCCTCGTAGACTCATACTAGTTCCTATGAAGAAAGTTAACACTGTGCCAGCTGAAACCAGGACACCCAGCAATTGGTGTGCACAAAAATTAACACCGTTGGTTACAGGACGACTACCTTGTTCATGACTCCCTGGAGGGCCACCCACAAAAGGGAAGTAAGGCAGCTTACAGTGATGGAAGGAGGAAAAATAGGCAGAGTCTGATGACTGGCACTGATGCGATGTTGGCCATCTACTCATGATCAGGAGAACTGGATTGTGAGCTAGGATTTTGCTCCAGTTCAACTGCAAGAGTCACCAGATTCTTCCCTTCAGGCTTCATGCTCACCTGCACGTCTGACACACAGCTATTCACAGTATCATTCACTCACCTTCCAAAAACTGTATGCTTCTTGTCCAGATATGCACAAGAGCGGAATGTGATGAAGCTGAAAGGAACAAAGATGAACCGGTTAGCATATTATCTCATTGACACTTAACAACAGCCAGTAGTGCTTAAAAACAGAGAGTGTATGCAACAGCTCCCTGAGAGAAGACAAGCCCCTCTCCCTCTCTGGCTCCTTTCTGGGAGGCCCACTGGCCAAACATCCTTTAACTCCTCTGTTTTGTGTGTTTCGTCTTGGATTTCTGGAGTTTTGACTTACCTTACCAGCATCCCTAACCAGTATTCCAAGCATGGTGACTTACACAAAGTCCAAAATTAATGTGAGCACTGCCTCCCTGGCTTTCCTCCTGCAAGCTCATGCAGGACAGGGAGACGTGCACCCTGCTTGGGAAGTACATTTCCTGTGCATGACTGGGAGCTTGTATCCAGCAAACACACTTACAGAACACAGCAGCCCTCTGCCAGTGTAAACTTCTATCTTTTAGGGTATTTACTATTTGCATTTCTCTTCCATTAAATTGGCCTGTCCGTGATCCATTTCTCCCCTGGACAGAGCAAATTTCGGATACAAACATGGCAGAAGAATACTTCAAAGTGTCAAAAGTAATGAAAACCTGTGAAACTTGGATTTTTAATTTTTAATTAATTGGACTTTTAATTTTTGGGGTTGTATTTTTAAACTAAAACATGGGAACTAAAATACCAAATCCAAAGCAACCTTTACTACTAAAAACTTTTCTCTACAGCTTGATGCTTCTTTGGAAGACTTGGACTACAAGCACACGAGACAGAGGTTTCCACACTGTGGTCTGCAGACCACGATGGCCCATCTTGGCTGGACATGCAGTGCTGGCTCTCCTCCATGTCTCCATCTGTTACACTACATTACAGACAGCTAAAAATATATAAGCATTCCAAAAGCACTTTTCCATATAAGCAACTGCCTCAGGAAGTTATACGATTGCAAATAGGAGGGGCTGCAATCTGCCAGACAATCTATTAAGACGTAGCTTGCCCTAGGAAAGCTTATAGATGCTGTGCAGAATGCAAACTCTTACACAGGGCAAACTCTACAACAGCCTTCTGCGTGGGTTCTTTGCCCCAGCTTATTCCCAGACACCCAGTACTTAAGCTTATCAAGTGGTCAGTTATGTAGCATTGTAATAAAAAAGATCTGAGCAGTAGCAAATATACAGACAAAGCTTCTCATCCATCACTGCAGTCAAAATACAGTGAAGTACAATGGAACTAACACAACTTGGGATTACCCCGGTGAAGTCCTGAGCATTACTCAAGCATCACCTTACACAGGGGACCCAGCTCACTGCACTGCAGCGCCTGTCACCTATGGGGAGAGATATTCACCCAGTTCCTAAGGTCACAACAGTCGCCAGAAGTGTCTAATCACTGCCTAGGAAGCTTTATAAATATGGGCAGCTGGAATCTCTCAAGGACTTCACATATAAAAGAATTTCAGACTTCATTTGCAAATTTTAGGGAAACATACCATCACATTTACAGCAGCAGATGATGTGACTCAGTATGGCACATCACTCAGGAACTGTCTCTGTAACTTCTCTTTCTAGAATTTTTTTTTTTTTTTAAGCACCTCTCCCCTAATTTAGCACCTGAGTGCTGGCAGTAACATTCAAATCCAAAATAAGCTCTACAGCAACTCAATCCTTCAAACTGCCCAACATGCACTTAGCCTTAAGTACGTGAGTAAGCCTATTAAAGGCCCCGAGACAAGCACTTGTGTTTCATTAAAGCTAACCACACTACCGCACAGGTTACAAGCCATAATAATACTCAGCAACATGAAGACCAACACCAAGAACCCCTCTCTCCCTCCCCAAGCCCAACACACAGTACTGGACACACACACACACACACGCTCTCACTCTCTTTCTTTCCTAGGGCTCCCAATAAAGGTACAACCTTTTCCTATTGCAGTACTTAAGAGAGCAACCAATAAATAGTTGCCTCAAAGGGACACGGAACATTTTCAAAAGACTGAAGGCAAACACACGTATTAATGCTACACATAAAGAAAGTTATTACAGCTTCAATATCTTTACATTTCATTTGTTGCTCCTTAATTCATTTTTTCCTCATTTTAGTTTTCATTCTGCCTTTGTACATCGAAAAACAAGTCGTTCTCAACGCCAGATTCTGCACTCTGGCACATCTGGGTTCTACACATTTCAACAGTGCAGAACTGTTCTCACTTACTTAAAATCAGCCGAGTAAAATGAAGTAACATTTCCATAGAGTATATGTTTCATTTCATTAAGTCTTTTCAAAAAGTTCAATACGGGGCTAAGTCTAAGCAGAGTGGAGAGGTGTAATGATCTCCCAGGGATAACAGTGGGAGGACACTGACAAAAATGAACAGAAACTTCAAACCATAAAAACAGAAAAGACAAATTAATGATGATATAATAAACCTACAGGTCTTCTTGCTGTGCTTCACTTTGCTCTTAAATTGACTAACAGCAGCTGCAGCTATCCTGATTTCAATATGCAGCACTCGACAGAATATTTCACTTGACTGAACTTTAAAGAGTAGCTCGTAAAATGTCATTTGTTTTCTTAACAGAGTAAGACACAATGTCTAGAGGGAAACAATAAAACACAAAAAAGCAAGTGACTACTTACAACTGCGATTTGTTTGTGTTGGGTCCCGAATTGGCCATACTAAGAACACCACGTCCCGTGTGGGACAAATTGGGCTTAAATTCATCTTTGAAAGGTTTTCCCCAGTAAGATTCTCCTCCTTAAAAGAGAAAAGATGATAGAAGAAATGTTTGTTTTCATTAGTTTCCCATTACATTTTATAACAGGCACTGACATTCAATTCAAGGTTTCTGGTGCTTCTGATCACTACACGTATAATATATTCTTACCTCATACCCATCACTAGGCTGTATTTGAGCATGCCCTTGAAATCAGATGTTTGTGATTGGCAACACAATTCTGTGCCCCCACACTGCAACAGCCCAGACTGTTTATCAACAGCATTACATACTGTGTGCTGAAGAACTGTCAAAGATTTATTTTTTTTTACTGCTGGTTCACCATAGTATTTCTTTTTTGAGACATTAAATCTTTACAAGTGGCTCCCTGACAAAACACAGAGCAAAGAATTACTAGTTTAATTGCACTCTGGATATAGCATTGCTTCCGGAAATAAAATATCAGGGAGATGAAATACATTCATAGAATCACCTAAGAATAGGAGCTATAGTTCAAATGCTTAATTCCTGGCTAAACAATGAAGAATGACGACATATTTTCCTCCAAAATAAAAGGTAAAAATTAGCTATTTGGATGATGTAAACACTTAAATGCAATGAAGTCAAAAGGATAACAAAACTTTGCACAAGCTGCAGACCCAGCCCTCCAAAACTGGTTTCTTTTCTGTGCCTGTGAATAGAAAGAGGGTCTGGAAGACCCCCCTCTCCTGGCTGTCATTTTTACATTATTGATGACAGATCTGACATTTTCATCTGCACTTTCCTCCAGGATCATTCCTAATAAGAAAAACGAAGGCTGAGATGAGTCATAGTTCTACAGTCAAATCCATAATCTTGTTTGACAAACCATGAAAAAATATTTCACCTTAGGATAGTATTAAAAATAAAACAAACAAAACTATCCAAACAGGCAGCAAGACTGGTCCATCCGCAGAACTGGTTCAAGAATCCTCCAGAGTAACTGCATCACTTGCAAGGCAGGAGGTCAGTAAAAGATCTGAGTGCTCAACGGCTATTTGCACATGTAATACAGAAAAGAGATTTGATGATATGGCTGCACAGGCAAGCAGCAAATAAAACTGAGGGATAAAAAGGCTCCTTCTGAAAGACTTCTGCAGAAAATCACAAGCATGCATCAAATGAGAGAAGTTTCAGATGATACCACAAAAACAGTGTCACAGGTGGATGGCTGCAAGTGCATGGGGCAAGCAAGCAAGAAATTCTTGAAGAAATAGACCCACTTAAAAACCCAATTAATCATGTGCAAAAGACCTATTAATAGAGTTAAGTGTTGCCTGCTCTGCAATTTGACAAGAGGCAGCAAAAGGGGACAGACCCTGTAAGGATTTTCTGTAATCAGTAGAGGAAGAGTGATTACTTCAGCAATCTTTGGCTGTTGAATCTTTTAAGATCAGCTACATTACATCAGCTTGATCCCATACCCAATCTGTTCCAGCAGTGGGTGAAAGCGACATGGTACAGCTGCAGCCAGTTCTACTGGCTTGAAGGTGGATCCAGAACACAGCTATTGTAGCCAAATTAAAAGCGTTCAACTTACTAGAAAATGTCTTACCAGAAGCCAGTAATTTTCTTTGCTAATGAATCTCCCTGCACGCTCCTATGTTTTAAGAGAGGTTACTTGTCCAGTGCCTTAATTACCTGCCTTGTTCAGAAAAACGAAGTTCTTGTAGGTTAGTAAATAAACAAGTTACACTCAGAACACAGCAAGGCTCCATGCCAAGAGGTGCTGCCCGAAACCAGAAACACACCCTCCGAGCCTGCAGACCATCAACAGCTCGATGCTGCGTGCACTATTCATCTTTCCCTCTTTGCCTTTCACAATTTTCACCTTTCCCTTCAATGCCATCACTTCAGCCCCTGCACTTCTGTTCTCAGCCACGGCCAGAGCTCTTTGCACCCGAGCAACAAGCTTCACTTGGACTTTCCTTGGGAAAATACAAAATTTTGCTTCAAAGGACCTCTTGAAGGAAGTCCTAATTATTTGTAAAGCAGATGCACTTGCTACAAGTCCTAACCCAGAGGAGGGCTTGTTGCCTAGAAATTTTCACATAATATGCAAACATGAACGCATCCCATCGAGATGGGACATAGCAGCAAGTGACCAACCCCTTGAGTCCGTTACACCCTTCAGCTTTCAGCTGACACTGGCATTACAGCATTGTCAAGCTGCTGAAAGAGGGTGGAATCAACCCTGAAGCCTTCGCTGGTCAGAAAAATAATACAAAAGGAATGAGAAAAACTGTGAATGACAGAGAGACTCTCTCTTTCTGGCACAACAATCAACTAGACCCAAGAGCTTGCAGACAGGAGAAATGAGCCATGATCTTTAGGTTTTGGAATATTTATTTTTGTATGATTTCATTTCAGATCATACACTGCACGTCAGAATTAATCTCATATGTATGAAAGCTAACTTTGGTTCATTCCAGTTCTCTGCAAATAAGCGCTAATATTTTAGTAGATAGTTACAGCATGAGATCCAGTCCCTGCCTCCCTCTCTGTCTGCCATACAGCTGTTTCCAGGGCTAATTCTGTCTGCCCGGGAGCTGCAGCAGGAACAGAGAATGGCCTGTGCAGCATTCTCCTAAAAGGCCAGACATCCTATAAAGGACATAGCTGGAGTGTCTGTGGATGCCTGGCAGCACGGACTGGCACAGGGCGGTAGGACACTGCAAAGCCAGCGAGACAGAAGGACAGGAATGGTTTGGGGTTATTTGTTGTTTTTTTTAAGGAAAAACCCCAAATTTTTAATTTAATTAAAAAAAAAAAAAAGAAAGAAAAACCGAAAAGTATTCTTAAATTAAAAATAGCCTGAATGTGCTATTTGTCAAACTCCGGCTAACCTCTGGAATAGTTCCAGGCTTCAAGTATCTGCTTGAAGCAGGATCAGACAGGGCAAGCCAGAAGACGGTGAGTTAAATGTATGTATTTTTTTAATTACTGAAGCCCAGAATCACTTTCTCTCAGAAGATTAAGTCCAGATCCCTCGTTAGTATACTGCCATGGCAGCACAGTGCCTAATGCTCAGCGAGGGGGGTCTGGAACAGGGATTTTACATCCTTACATTTTACTTTCTACAGTAGAGCTCAATGTAAACTTGGGAAAATAACTCACAGGCTCCAAATTCTACTACTAATAATTCTACTACTAATAAAGGCGTTTGGAAATATCTTGCAGTTTTTACTGTGTTTATACCCCACATGGTTGGGACGAGTGGCTGTGCCATCTCCCTTATTTTCTGAAAGCAGAATGGATGCAGACAGAGGAGGTGGGACAGTCGCACCGCCTAGCTCCAGCCCTCTCCTGTTACACGCCTGATGGAAAGAGAGGAGGCTTCTCCTTATATTCCCCCAATCTTCCTCTGAGAGCACACAGATCACCACTGACTATACACAGAGTCACAACGATGTAAAAACCTCACCCCAAAGCTGACATACCAGCCTACAAGCAAAGCCCCTGGCACAGAAGAACTGACTCAGGGTGTTAGATTCACAGCGGGCAGCGCTGCCCGTCACTTCACCTTCCTCTCGGCTTACTCCTGATAACATTATCTTCTGTCGCCGTGGAGCTCTGTGTGACTGGACTTGCAAATGTTTCTCAGATCGTATTACAAAAAGTGCTGGAAAAAAATTCTGTGCTAAAAATCAAAAGGGGTTCACATGGCAGCAAAGACAGCTGGATTGGTGCTGGGAGCGCGAAAGGGAGCAGGACTCACCGCTCTGCGCGTTTGGGTCTCCTGCTTGCACAAAGCTGGAAATGTATTCGGGATTGGCCACAGAAATACACTGGCCTTCTGCTAACAGCAGGATCTATCCTGTGCAACGTCAAAGCCTTTTCTGGAAGGAGCTTTTGCACTGTTCTGTAAAATACAAACCACATCCCTACCCAGATACCCAAGGTTCAAAGCTGAAGGCAGCTGGGAGCCACTTCCCCACATTTTTAATAAAAGAGAAAAATTATCTGAAATTAAAGAGGTGTTTGTCGAATTCTCACACAGAGATGAAGCCAAACAGACCACACAGCTCATAGGAAAAATTAGACTGTATTAATCATTTCCATGGCTATCCAGAGAGGCAAGATGTATTTAGCTTGCAACTGAAGCACATTTAGTTGTTCAGTCTTGTATCTGCATCTTGTGCTGATCGTGAAAAGGTGAATAGATCTAAACTGATATCTGACACAATCATATATTAGCAACTGTACAGAAAAAAAAGACACATTTTCGGATTGTCTTGAACTAAACCAGCTTACTCATTGGTAGTTTTTGTTCCTTCTAAAGGAACTTTTTTCAGAAAGTAATTTTTTGGGTAGAATTAGAGAAATTGTACAACTTCCTTGCAAAAAGCTGAGATGCACCGAAAGCTTCAGAAATGTAGCATTCCAAAAGCCAGGTGTGGGCTGAGAATCATCATTCATGACAGTTGTGATTTTAAATAAATCCTTCCTTTTTCTGGCATAAAAATTGCTAAGCAGTGGTAAGGAAGTGGGAGGGCTCTGATTCACAAAAATGATGGCTTACTTTCTGTAATTTTCTTCTTGTCATTTGGAACAACAAGGTACATAATAACATCTGACACTTCTGTGAAGCTTTCCAAGTAAGATTCTTGAATAATTTTGCAAATGTGAAAGCCTTAGCTCACCCAGTAAGTGCTTCTCTCCCTGCAGATAAGAGGACATGGTACTTCTAACCCCACATACCAGAGGCTGGATTTGCAGAGGGGCTGCAATCTAAAAGGAGTATATCGCTAGATAAAGAGGTCTTGCTCTAGTCCTCTTCCTGAGCTTCAATCATGCAGCAGAAGGGCTCTACAACTGGTTTACATTTTAGGAAATTGCCTTGTTAGGAAACCACACTGCAGGACTGACCAAGTCTGTCCACAGTCCTTTGCTATTGACAGGTCAGAGGAGGGGAAAAAAAAGTCCTTCGCTTTGCTTCTTGCCAACCAAAATGCAATTCCTATCTACCAGTGGTACTTTATGTTGGACTTGCACAGCTATTGTATGACTTCTTTGTGCCCTCCTGGATTCACAGACGGAGGCACGTACAAGCCAATTCATGAGACCTTCCAACAGGTTGCAAGTGAGAGTAGCTGAAACACGCCTGTGCCACTTTGAAAATGTAATGCTTTGCATGTAGTCTTCTCTTTTTCATACAAAAGGGTTAGGATATTAAACCTATTTTTCCTACATGCAAATTTCCTTCTATTATTTGGAACGCTGAAAATACAGAGCAGCTGCTTCACTTGCACTAGCATGAGTTAGAATTACTCACAACGTTCAACCACTTAGTTGTTATGAACAGCAGGAGAAGAGGTACATCACAAATCTAAAATTCATTTTCAAATAATTAATCATTACAAAGAATGACCATGACTCAGCTTATTGCTCTGAATACTGCCTCTATGGGTGGTTATTCTGTTAGAAAAGAAATAAGCTGCTGCAGCACAATAAAATTTCTCCCAGCAGTCTTATGAAACATTAAGTTGAAGGCTGGAGAAAATTAGTTTGGACCTCTAAATCAGTGTCAGCCTTACAGGGCTGTGTATCTAACTGCTTTGGCAATGCAGGTCTGCCAGCTAAGCAAAGGTAAAACTCTACTCCCCACCCTTTTCCCAGTGTGGCATCTCAACTTATAGACACCATAGTGCTGACTGCCACCCTCCTCCATCCCAAGGTTAACTGCTGAGCACCAGGAACCAGTTGTCCTTCACGAGTCTGCTGGGTCACAGTTACCTTTACGACAGCCTAACAAGAGGCTCAAAAAGGACACGTTGAGGTGCTGAATAACAAATAAAAAAGAAATAATGATCACTGCTGCTAACAGATAGGACTGTTCAGGCGGAGCAGCTGTGGAAGCACGCAGTGACAATCAGCTTGGCATTTTCCATCTGTGAAATGTTTCCAAAACACAAGCACACTTCTCTAGGTGAGCCCAGAGCACAGTTGCAGTCTGTGTATATGACATGTAACCTTACGTCACGTAGTACTGAATGTGCCCAAATCCACCCAGCAGCCGAACAGTCCTGGGCTTAGCTAGCAACGGAGTGGGTGGGTGATCATGGAAGCATTTGGGTGTTGCAACCATAAACCTGACACCTGTTGCTGAACATGGGATGAACGTCAGATGGCAGAAACCAAATGCTGGGAAGATTTCTGAACAATTCTGTTCTAGTTCCTAAGCTGATGAACAGAAATAATTGAATAAATATAAAACCCCAAGAATATATACAGGCTTAATGAACCTTCCACATACCAGTTTGAAAAAGGTGTTTTTTTTTTTTTTTTTAAACAAACAAAAAACCATCCCAGACCTCTTAGCCAGAAAATTTCAGTTAAAGCAGAAGGTTCTATGTGGAAGGAGAAAAAAGGGATGTTCCTTTTTTCCTGTAGTCTTCCTACAAAAGGTTCTAACTGCTGCAGAGAGCACATAAAGCCAGACTTTAGGTCTGGTCACCTTCTTACAGTACTTGGCTCAAGATAGACAAGTGAAATTTCTACTTCACATTCAAGAGCCCAGGATCTCTCAGGTATTCAGGAACAAATCTTGACAGACTACTTGCACTCTATGAACTGTCTAAGCTGCTTCATTTAAGTAAGTATTAAACACACAGGCACGACAGCTCAAGAGAAATCTGGTAGCCCACCAGGCTGTCCACTTGCAACATTTTCTTGTGATATTATCATATTCGGTAAGTGATTAAGTAAGGATATCTAAAATTCATCTGTCTTCAAAAAATAAAAACCATTCAGTTGCAAAGAAGATAGTTGCATTGTTTGGACTCTACACTAATTGCAAACAGTCTCTAAAATTTAATCTGCAACATTCATATCCATTTGAGTGTACACTGTCCATTTTATTAGAATTTTAATAGTCTTGACAGATGCTTGCAAGACATCTTGTCTGCAATATATTCATATTTAATCACGAATGAGAGGGAGCAAAACAAGATGGAAAATATGAGAGGTCATTAGACTCCTTTTCTGAAATAAAAGAATATACATAGGGGTTTTTTTCTGCTGTGGGCTTATTTGCATTTTACTTCCTACTTGCTTTGCCAGTAGAGCTGAGTCTTGACCTTCAGTGCAGCTGCACTGCCAGTCCTCTGCCAACTGTTAATTGTGCTGTCGTACAGTACTTTACCATTTGCACAAATAGACAAGAATGACACCAGCAAGTTAATTTTCATTCCACAGCAAGATCTGAACTCTACCCTACAAGGGTGAAAGGTGTCTGAGCCAACCCATTTAATTTGTCCCGTCTCCTGACAAGTCTTTAATTTCTCATTTTAAAAGATGTTCCTAATTATGTCTTCTGGGATTTGAAACAAAACTTTCCTTGTAACAAAATCAAATCACATCTCTTTTGACAGTCCAAGCATATACGGTAAGAAATTTTGTTAATGGGCTTTTGCCGTCAAAACACAGTCTCAAATCTTAGAGTACGCAACTTGATTGTCACATGCAGTAGAAGAAAAGCTGTTGGGCAACTCACATTAACATTATTTACAAAGTAAATAGAGCTAAAGTATTTAACAACCACAGAGACAGCTTTTTTGGATGACCCATAAGCACATACAGAAGACGATAGTGCTTACATATACAAGTGAACTGGAATAAAAATGCTCAGAACCCCACAGGAGCAGACGAGGAGCTGTGGAGACTGGTGACATCTACAAGTGGCTAGAGAAAAGGTGGAAGCAGTAAATGAGCAAATTTACAGCAGCAACTAGAGATATTACACGGCATATCTACTGTGGTGGGCAACGCTCTGAGGACCCTTCAGCTGCTATGTCTCGTGACTGTTTCTGCTATGACTGTTATGCAGATCTCCAACTAAGGGAGAAAGAACAGGCAAAAGAATTTAATAACAGTGATCCCTGAGAGTTCGAAAAAGAGCAGCTTGGGCTTTACGAGGCAGCTAGCTGGGAGAACAGATGGTATCTGGCCATTCACCAATTCCGAGGCAGGTCTCAAGTATTTCATTAACACTGAATTGGAAAGCAACTTTGCATGAATGTGTTTCTTCCTTTGTTCTTTGCCCTGGAAGGCCAGCTGTAAAATCATAATAATTTTTATTTATTTATTTTCTGGAAGAAAAAGGAAGCAAAGACCCAACAAGAATTCTACATGGAAGAGCGCCCAAGTTTTAGACAGAGAATATATGAGATGAAATTTTGAGCATAGTTAAAATAATCATAAAAATATAGCAATAAACCCTCTGCTTTAAAGTAGAAATATTCACAATGTACCACATAGCATTTAATCAACAAGGTGTCTGGAAATAAATGTAACAAAGTGCATGAAGTGAAAACAGTTTACTTGATTCAAACTCAACCTTACCTGTTCCTGTTCCAGTTGGATCACCTCCTTGGATCTGCAGAATTGAAATAAAATCTAGAGGTTACATATATATCTATGTGAAAGACATTAAGTACAAGCCATAAAAGCCAATTCTGCTCAATTTTCTTCCTTCTATATTATGTCATGTTGACAAGTTAGCAAAAAGGAAACCATTACTACTTATTTGGAGCTTCTTTTATCAGTTGGCTGTCATCACCTACATTACTTACCCAACAGCAGAATGACAGTTTTATAAAAATAATAGGACTCTTGTGGGTAAAGAGGGAAAATAAACAGTCTCAAATGGGTTAACCAGATTATCCTTTCTATTATGCGCTGGGTTGTAACCTCCTTTTTAACTGATGATGCATTGCTTTTGGAATGCACCTCTCCACATGATGGGAAGGCAAGAAATGAGGGAATGTGGAATATTTTCTGTATCTGAATCTGTATTTCGCAGTATCCCCGTCTCCAGTAGGAAAATCCCCCATGTGAAACCAATCTTTCAGCAACAAAATTAATCACTGTGTGTGTATATATATATATATATATACAGGATCTACAGAATAACATTCTATATTCTAATGTCAGTAGAGGGACCATGACTGGCTTCACAGCAATAGCACATAAGCACAATTTTAATTGTGAGTTTAACTATGAACTGAGATATACAGTGCTGTCAGAAGAAAAAAAGCTTTTTTTAGGATGAGAGCATGCAATGTAACATTCAGTGATGTCCCTGAAAGATGTGCACTGCCTTCAGGATCAGGGTGTTAATTCTTCTGAAAGGAAGTTAGAGGACAGCTACAATATCCTAAGCTGCGTGGACTGTACCTATGTAAATATAGATTTCTGACTACCAAAGTCAATTTTCTGGTTCACTAGGTGCTCTTTAACTCCTCCACAAAGAAAGCCGGGACACCTAGACAGGAAAGGATGATCTGACAGTATCCAGCTATCATAACCTGAAACAGAAATTCAGCTGCTTTCTAAAGTTTCATCTGAATAGGATTTCAACAGGCCACAGTATTACTTTCCCAATTAGCATTCCCCTCTCTCTCTCTCCCTCTCCTTCTGTTCATTAACCACCCGCCCACAGCTCAGGGAAGATAACAAGAACCTTGCCAAGGCAATGACTCTCCAAGGCTTTGTCTGGAATGCCAGCAAAAGCACTACTAAATGCAGTTATGCTCCAAGTGACAATATTAGTCAGAGACAGTTGTTAGCAAGACTAGTAAGTACAAATTTAGTAAGTTAGGACAATCCTAGTTTTGATGGTTTATTTAATATACATCTATTGCAAATTGTCATGTGCGGAAGAAACTAAAACAGAATTAAGCTAAATAAATATTTTGAGGACATCAGATATTGTGTGTTACACAGGATTTGTTCAATACTTACCACAAAATTACGAATTGATCTGTGAAAAATTGTTCCATCATAATAGTTCTTCTTGCATAATTTGATAAAGTTTTCACATGTTCGGGGTGTCTGAAAGACAAAGAGAAGTTTTAATTAACAAACACCTTTAGACAATCAACTCTGTCACTCCACTGTTTACCACAATCACTTTTCATTTGTGCCTTGCAAAGCAGCAATCATGCAGGACTCTTGAAGAGGAATGAATCTCTGTCTACAGACAAAAGATATAATATATGCTCTTTTAAAGTATTTTGGAAAGACAGACACTGTGTTAAATAAATTAAAGGCAGACCTTCCAATTAGCACAAAGAAGTGCTGAACACTAGCTCAGATAGCGTGAGCTCCCAGTAGACATAATGATGGTGAAAGCAGGTAAGCTCAGAGGCTTTCAAGTAACTTAGTTCCAGCAGTGTATCATAACCCTGTTCCAAAGGGGGACTTTTAGCACTGAAGAAAGTTAATTTCCCAGAGTAAGAAAGAACCTGACTTCTCTGCTCCACTATTTCAAAGTGAGCATATGGAAACTAACTGGGAGAGAAGCAGCCGGTCCTGTTCACCACTTGGAACTAAAAATGGGACTGACCCCACACATCACCAGACCACAGGAAACACAAAAAAGACAAGTTGTTTTCAAAAATCTTAAAAAAAAAAAAAAAAAGCTAAATATATTGTCAATTTCTAATTTGCTTTTACAGTGCAAATTGAAGCTATTTATTTGAAGCTATGAGCCATGGTATTCAAACAGTACCTTCTGAAAAACTTTACTGTCTACCTAATTATCCTTCCACTGTAATTGTACAGATTCTCTTCTCTGCAATACCAAAATACCTTCACAAGTTTAGAAACAGCCTGGTTTCTATACCTGGACATGTTTTCCAGCCCCGCTGTGGATCATGTGCATAAATATATTCCAGTTCTACAACAGAATACATCTAACAAATCTGAGTTGTTACAGGTGTTGAAAATATCCTTATTGTTGTATGTGCTGGCAAGCAAAGAGCCAGCATGAGTCACAGTGTCTGTAAATTAACACACACAAGACTTGAAGCCTCTTTCTGAAAGACACTGATTGACGTTGCATTGGTATGACATCATTCTTGGTCTGAGAGCTGCAGAGAGACAGAGTGATACTGAGCCATGCAGCATGAAGTGACTTAAAAGCAAAAAAACAAGGCAAGCCCAATTACCATCATTTAAGGATGAAATAATCCTTCTCTTTTTAAAAGCAGATCCACGCAAGTATTCATCAGGAACCATACAGAACTTAAATTTTCTGTAATATTTTATCTTCTGAAACACAATCATTCTCACCCCTCTTTATTCCCACTGAAGTGTCCCTTAATTATCCAAACAAACTCTACCTGCCCTTACAAATTCCTTATAGCAATTCCTTCTCAATTACTCTACACAGATATAGATGACCGTTGTCAGCTGGGCCATAACTGGAAAAATAAACAAATTATAATGCAATCTTACACCAGCTATTATCTCAGATTTCCTATATAATTCGTTACTATGCTAATAGTACCATAATGGGTTTATGGTAGAATGCCACAAGGACATGTATTTTGGTAGCATTCTGAGGGCAACTCGTAAGTAAACATATTCCATAAAAATTGCTTCAAGCAATAGGAGGCTTTCCTACAGTTTCTATGTTTATAGCAAATTTGAAAATTTTTCTTTGAGTTGGACATATATGCTATGAAAATAACCTTTGTACGTAACCTTTCAGGTAAAATTAAACCCCTGAAGAATCATTTGCGCAGTGTATGTTTCCTTTGTAAGACAATATCGTAACAGCCTTGATCCTAATGTAGTGCTATTAGTTATCGCTCATGAGAAATGTCAGGAAGGATAAAAATAAGTTTTAAAAATTTCTTTATGAATCAGAAATGGAATCAGCAGCTTTTAGCCTAAGGCACTTTATCTCATGAGAACCAAGCACTCTTTGCAGAGAGACATAGTTAATAAGTTCTCTGGGGGGAATACAGCAACCTGTAATTAATTTTTTAAGAAAAATGAAATCAGGCAAAGGACTGAGTCCCCTAGGAATACATACCAAACTGTTTTACATTTGAACAACACTGACAACCCAATAAAGACTTCCTATTTATTTTCAAAATATGATTTGTAAACTATAACTCAAAAAAAACCTGGCTTTAGTAATGTATTTTTTATGTAGGACCTATGCTGACCTTTCTCTCCAAATGGATTTCTAGCTATTATACCTTTTCCCAGAAGCAAGCTTTTCAAATGAAACTGCAGAAATATTTAGTATACCTGCAGTAATCATTTCACCGCAAGGTTTTCTTTAAATAATTGCCACGAAATCGGTTCCCATGGTCACCTCATGCATCATACAGATACATTTGGCAGGTAAACAGTTTCTTAGCAACATTACCATTACCTTTTATGACGCTTTTTAGAAGACACAAATAAAAAGGTTTGTATTCAATCAGTAATAAACCCCAGTTTCGGTCATGCAGTTGATCTAGAATATCTGGCTCAGATTATCTGATTTATTCAAAGCAGTTAATGTTCTTGCCAAATCTCACACCGCCAAGCACATTTCAGGGACTTTTAAAAGCAGCATCCTATCCAAAGCAGGAGAAAAAGGCTTGATGTTTATGGGAAAGGTGCAGATCCTCAATAATGAGGTTAGGTTCTGCACTGACCATACAAACACAGCCAGTCTTTGAAGTCTTTGTTCCAACTACAAAGACTGATGAGAAATCCATACAAACAAACCTCACTTTGTTATTTGAGTGCAAGATCTGGTGGAAGACGTCAGACTCGCAGTCTTGGAATGGAAAACTGTCTACATCTTCAGAAACTGCCTCCACACCACTTGCCTGACGCCGTTTCTGAAGGAAGAAGGGCTGGTTGAGGCACCTGGAAATGCAGCAGTGCAGGAGGCAACAGCGGTTTCTTGTTGCCTCATTACTGACAATGGACTCCAAGCTCTCTCTGTATTTCTTGCTGTTCTTGTCTCAAATCGACCTCAACAGCAGCAGATAACTTTTCCCCCTTTATTCCTTTTACATTAAGCAGGAAATTACTTACATGATTTTAAGCTGGTGACTATGATTCAGACATACATGTAAGAAAGTCATGGGGAAAATGCCACCTTAAATTGTGAACCTATTGATCTGAAGGCCACCAAGAGAGAACAGGTTATGTTTTAAATCTATTGCAATATCTTCTCAGATGGATGCAGTGATAGTCCTAAGAAGTCAAATTTAAAAATTGTGGAAGGCTTTTCTCTATGAAGAGAGTGGATTTCTCTCTGAGAAATCCTCCTTTTCTTGGGTCAAGTTGGGACCCCACAGGTGAACACAGTTCTCTCTCCAAATGACAAACAGTAAGAAAAAAAAAAAATCTTATTTATACCAAAATGAGTCTCCTGCTCCAAGTATGTTCCCCATTTATTTTGTAGATGCCAGCTAACTGTCTTTCAACTGTTGAAAATTCACACCCAAGACAAGTGGTAAAATTTTAATAAAGTGTCTGAGACAGGAATCCAGAAGCGTACCTATCCCAGAAGATGACACAAATGCTTTGCTTGGCTCACAGACATATATATTAAAGGGGAAACAGCCCAACGGTTTCCTAATTGTGTTCAAGTCTCCGTTTACCTAACACGCTTATTAGGTAACTCAGCATGGAAATACCAGTGATCTACCAGTTAGTCAGCCTGGACAAATTTCAGAGTAACACAGATTGCTACTAAGAATGACCATGCAAACACAAGAGTGACAAGAAGCCAGATGTGAAATCACAGATACTGGGAAAACACTAAAGAAAGGAATTGAATTTAAAAACCAAAAGCGAAACAGTAAAAAAAACCCCTGACTCCTTACTATAAAGTTCTAAGAGAAATGCAGATTTTATCTTGTTCCACTTTAAAGTATTACTGGAGCTAATTTGAGTTTCCTTTTTGCCAGCAAAGGCATCTCCAAACCAGGCAAAATTCACCTCTCTTGCTGCACCCCGAGATCTGAGGAGTAAGACTAACCAAGTCAGCTCACTATCTGATTCCTCGGTTTGCAGCTCTCCTTCCTCGACACTTAGAATGAGTCATTACAGTTGTAAAAGTTACCTTCACTCAGAATTGGCACTGGACAGCCAAAGAGCCAACCAGAAGTAGACTAAAAACCTGTGGCACTCCTGTTGCCAAGGTAGAAGGGATGGGAAAAGAGGAGCTTCTGAATCGTTGCCATGACTGCGAGGAAGAAGGCTTTACTATGTGAAGAGCTAATCATTTCAAAATGCTCTATCCCTTGAGGATCCCCATGAACTTTGAAGAGAAATTTCACACTAAGCATTCAGAAGCTGTCACTCACCCATCTGTATAATTTCCTTGTGCTAATTTCACTTCCCTTTTATTTCTTTTTGTCTCTCTAAATTGGATGTAGTAGTCGCACTAAACTACAGAGCCTTGATACAGGCTCATTAACCCTATGTTTCAAAGCAGAAATAATCGGAAATAATGAAAAGCTCGTTCCTCACAAATTAAAATTGCATTCTACAGCCTTCACCTTATCACACAAATGCCAGAATCCTGCTACTAAGAAGCGTGAACTACTGATGGAAATTTTTAAGGCTTCAAATGAAACCTGCATTTTTTTTTACGTAGATCTCCTTTAAAATGCAAGGTGGATTTTGTTCTGCTTTAGTCCATTTATGTACTTTCTTTTTTATTTTTTATATAGAGCATTTTCACTCTTGCAACTCTTCATTCCAGCAACTCTTCTAATACACGAACCATAAAGAGGTGGTTTGGTAGGGTTTAAACTCATTTCTTTCAATCTGCAAGCCTTGTAGCCTACCCGTCCCACAGGAAAGAACTCGCCCTAACAAAAGCTTGGCTTTATTTAGGGCTTCGTCAGAGGCAACTGTAATGGAGCAGTTTCAGGAATCACCCTCTATCAGGTGCAAGTGTCTGTTCCCTCAACTCAGTCATGGAAAGAAACTGGACATATAAAAGTTTCTAGTGCATTTAGATGCATAAAACTGTATAGGAAGGCAATTTCAGCTACCCGACTTCACTCTGCACCAATGGACTAGGA